AAAAGAACCCCCATGCCAAAAATCAAGTCAATCGGAGCAAAAGAAAAAAGAAACCCCAAACCTTATTAATAGATATATTTTAGACTAGGGCTCGAGACTTCGCAGCCTGCGGCTGCTCACGTCTCGAGGGCAGCTCTGCGGATAAAGGCAACTTTGCGCGCGACTTGAGCCATTTTTGAAGCTAAATTGAGATGAAACGTCGCTTTTGCGGAAGAAACGCTCGCCAAAGCTTTGCCGACGGCCTCCGGCCGCGGCAGAAAAAACGCTACGCGTTAGACTGAGCCTAGTAGCAACTTTTGGCGTTCATAACGCTAAGCCGACCTTGTCTTAGGTCAAAACCTAAGATCGCTAAGCTTACCCTAATCGTCAAGTCAGTCCCAGATCGCTAAGCCGGGTTAAAGAGCCCGCCGGCATGAGGCGACGGCCGCCGCGAGACTTCATTTTGTTACCTAAAATAATCTTCCTTCCACCAAAAGCTGATCAAAATCACATAAAATAATCAAAAATCAACTAAAAACTCGAAAAAATAGACTCAGCACTCAAAATTATCCAAATCCAATATTTTTCCCGAAATCCCCGTCAAATTTGGCCCTAAAACGGCCAAATCCCGAGAATCCAGGACCAAAAAAAATAAATTTACAAAAATTTCTGAAAAAAATCCAGAAATCCCCGTCATTATGCGTCACGATGACAGTTTCCGTACCACCCTCCTCATTCTCAGCACTCTCTCCGTCTTATCTCTGACCGGAATCAAAAGAGAAAACCTTTGTCTAACCACCCTCCACCCCTTTCCCATTCTCTCTTTTCTCCCGCCAAACGAAGAGGGAAGCGGTTCTCTGCCCGCTCTCTCTTTTCGCCGCGCTCTTTTTTTGTGTTTTCGGCCATGGAAGTGGGCGTGTTTTCAAAAGTGGCACTTGTTGCACTAAAAGTACCGGGAAAAAACATACGACTATGTCCGAAATGTCATGGAGCTTCTGAATATGTAACTTTTAGACGAATTTTAGTTGGAAATTTTGGAGATTTGACGGTTTTAAAAATTTTGAATTTTTTGAGACCGCCGCTTCAAACATGATATCTGATCATATCTTTGGATGTCAGATACGAAATTCCGGCTACGGAATGATAATTCAATTATCTAGTGCGTCCCAGGCGGGATTTTAGAATTTCGACCTTGTTCCCGAGCTATAGTAACTTTCGTCAAAGTAAGCAAAATCCAAAAATTCGGAAATTTGAATATTGCTTTTTCAACCTGTCCGTATTTTACAAATCGATAACTGTTTCTGTAGCAGTTCGATGTGCTGAATACGATGGACGAAATAGAAATCCGAAAAAATTCCGTTTCAAGCCCTCAGGGCCGAAATTCGGCCAAAATTTCGAAATTTTTCTTCGGAGACACAGTGCGCACGGAAAATGGAAGATAGAGAGCTGAAACTTGGCACGATGGTAGTTCATTTTGTGTCCTATAGCACCCATATGATCAATTTGTTCAACTCCGCTAATTGCCCTAAGGGCGAGTTTTTTCGCACGGTGCACCAAAAATCGACCGAAATTTCCGGCCGCTCTGGCGGGCCGTAATTCGAGAGATACGAAAGTGGTGTAAGCGGGTAAATTGTAGAGCTCTTCGAGCTCTACAATCTATTGTTGGCCACTTTTGAAGTTGTTGTTGCGTTGTTGCGGAACATGACGAAAAATTTGATTTTCTAAAAATTTCAAAAATTTGAAAAAAATGCGATTTTCAATATAGAACTGGTTCTGGGAGATGACGATGACTACAGGTCCAAAAACAATTGAGGACAATCTTCGGGCAAAAAAATTAAGATTTGCGAGTGATTTTTTTGAATTTCGACCTGGGAGCCGAGAACCATTTTGTCGAACTTTGCACTGTGCAAATCGTATTTTTTACAGTAAGCCATAGCTAAAATACGAAGTAAAGTAGAAAAAAGAAAGACACGACCCAATAGGAAGTTTGGTACGTAAAATTCAATGGAATCGAAAAAATCCAGAAAATCCGTCATCATGACGGGGTTTTCTGGAAGTGTAACTTTGTACATGGCCGTATCTACACATACATTGAGTTATCTCTTAGTTATGAATTTGCTTTCCCGATATGGACCTGTAGAAGCTTGCATTTCAATATTCTTCTTGCTAGTCAAAGGTTACGAAAAAAGGTCATTTTTTGGGATTTTTTCCGAAAAATTTGAAATTTCGAAAAAATCTCGACAGTGATTGTCCCATTATGTACCATACGCGACGAAACCAAAAATCAAGTCGGTAGCTGTAAAACGGAGTGAGATACAGAGATTCAAAGTTTCGACTTTTCATGACGTCATAGGTCACTCAAAATTGAAAATTTTGAAATTTTTTTTCAAATACTCAAAGAGAGCATCTAAAAGAACCCCCATGCCAAAAATCAGGTCAATCGGAGCAAAAGAAAAAAGAAACCCCAAACCCTATTAATTATTATATTTTAGACTAGGGCTCGAGACTTCGCAGCCTGCGGCTGCTCACGTCTCTCGGGCAGTCCTGCGCCCGGTTTCGCTGCTTTGCGCCCGGTATTGCTGCTCTTCGCGCGATTTGGACCTGTTCAACGTCCAAAACAACATAAACGCTCGCCAAAGCTTTGCCGACGGCCTCCGGCCGCGGCAGAAAAACGCTACGCGTTAGACTGAGCCTAGTAAAAACTTTTGTCGTTCGGAACGCTAAGCCGACTTTGTTTTAGATCGAGAATTTACCCTAATCGCTAAGCTCAGGTCACTCCCAGATCGCTAAGCCCGGCTAAAGAGCCCGCCGGCATGAGGCGACGGCCTACGGTCGCCGCGAGACTACACTTTTTACCTAAAATAATCTTCCTTCCACCAAAACTTGGTCAGAAGCTCATACAATAAGGAAAAATCAACTAAAAAACTCGAAGAAATAGACTCAGCACTCAAAATTATCAAAATCCAATATTTTTCCCGAAATCCCCGTCAAACTTGGCCCTAAAACGGCCAAATCCCGAGAATCCAGGACCAAAAAAATAATTTTACAAAAATTTCTCAAAAAAGTCCAGAAATCCCCGTCATTACGCGTCACGATGACAGTTTCCGTACCGCCCTCCTCACACTCAGCACTCTCTCCGTCTTATCTCTGACCGGAATCGAAAGAGAAAACATTCCTCTCACCACCCTCCAACCCTTTCCCACTCTCTCTTTTCTCCCGCCAAACGAAGAGGGAAGCGGTTCTCTGCCCGCTCTCTCTTTTCGCCGCGCTCTTTTTTTGTGTTTTCGGTCATGGAAGTGGGCGTTTTTTCAAAACTGGCACTTGTTGCACTAAAAGTACCGGGGAAAAAGATACGACTATGTCCGAAATGACATGGAGATTCCGAATATGTAACTTTTAGACGAATTTTAGTTTGAAATTTTTGAGATTTGACGGTTTTAAAAATTTTGAATTTTTTGAGACCGCCGCTTCAAACATGATATCTGATCATATCTTTGAATGTCACATACGAAATTGCGGCTACGGAATGATAATTCAATTATCTAGTGCGTCCCAGGCGGGATTTTTGAATTTTGGCCTTGTTCCCGAGCTATAGTAACTTTCGTCAAGGTAAGCAAAATCCAAAAATTCCGAAATTCGAATACTGCCTTGTCACCTTGTCCGTATTTTAAGAACCGATACATGTTTCTATAGCAGTTCAACGTGCTGAATACGATGGATGAAATTAAAATCCGAAAAAAATCAATTCCAAGCCCTCAGGGCCAAATTTTGGCCGAAATTTCGAAATTTTTCTTCGGAGACACAGTGCGCACGGGAAATTGAAGATAGAGAGCTGAAACTTGGCACGATGGTAGCTCATTTTGTGTCCTATAGCACCCATATGATCAATTTGTTCAACTCCGCTAATTGCCCTAAGGGCGAGTTTTTTCGCACGGTGCACCAAAAATCGACCGAAATTTCCGGCCGCTCTGGCGGCCGTAATTCGAGAGATACGAAAGTGGTGTAAGCGGGTAAATTGTAGAGCTCTTCGAGCTCTACAATCTATTATTGGCCACTTTTGAAGTTGTTGTTGCGGAACATGACGAAAAATTTGATTTTCTGAAAATTTCAAAAATTTGAAAAAAATGCGATTTTCAATATAGAACTGGTTCTGGGAGATGACGATGACTACAGGTCCAAAAACAATTGAGGACAATCTTCGGGCAAAAAAATTAAGATTTGCGAGTGATTTTTTTGAATTTCGACCTGGGGGCCGAGAACGAATCTTTTGAAATTTGCACTGTGCAAATCGTATTTTTTACAGTAAGCCATGGCTAAAATACGAAGTGCACTACAAAAAAGAAAGACACGACCTAATAGGAAGTTTGGTACGTAGAATTCAATGGAATCGAAAAAATCCAGAAAATCAGTCATCATGACGGGGTTTTCTGGAAGTGTAACTTTGTACATGGCCGTATCTACACATACATTGAGATATCTCTTAGTTATGAATTTGCTTTCCCGATATGGACCTGTAGAAGCTTGCATTTCAATATTCTTCTTGCTAGTCAAAGGTTACGAAAAAAGGTCATTTTTTGAGATTTTTTTCGTAAAATTTGAAATTTCGAAAAAATCTCGACAGTGATTGTCCCATTATGTACCATACGCGATGAAACCAAAAATCAAGTCGGTAGCTGTAAAATGGACCGAGATACAGAGACTCAAAGTTTCGACTTTTCATGACGTCATAGGCCACTCAAAATTGAAAATTTCAAAAAATTTTTTCAAATACTCAAAGAGAGCATCTAAAAGAACCCCCATGCCAAAAATCAAGTCAATCGGAGCAAAAGAAAAAAGAAACCCCAAACCTTATTAATAGATATATTTTAGATCATTATCATCTTAACGATCGGAAACTTTAACCGCAAAAAAACTAATAAATATAAGGTCAATATCCCCTATAAACCCGTTATAAATACCGAACTCAAAACAATAAAGGACAGCCCAAGAATAAAACAATCCTTTTACATCCAAAATCATCTCTATTCCTCCTTTTTCTTCTGGGTTGGTTCAAAATAGAGGATGATAATCTGGATGAAGAAAAAGATCCAAGTGTAAAAGTAGTTGAGGAATGACCAAAAGGCGAAGAAAAGCTGCCAAAGATATGGATATCTGGCAGGAGGCGATATGAAGACCAACCCAACGGCGAGGGTGAGGAAGATGATCAAGTTCAGGACTCTCATGGCTGTAATGTGAAGCTTTGTCGAAGGGAATTGCTTCAAACAGAAAGTGTGGTATATCACAAATAATGGGAACGATTGGATCGCATTTTCTTGGAATACCAATGGAAACAGACTGTAGGCGGCGGTCGAGAGGAAATCTGTGACCACCACTGGATACTGGTGGACATGCAAGATGATGGGCCTAAAACAATACAACTGCTAGCCGTTTTCTTTGAGAAAAGACACAATGTCAAACCAAAAAGTCCTCTTGAGTAACATTCCGCTCACAAAGATTACTAACAGACCGGGAAACCATCCAAAATTCACAAAAAATTAACCTACATTGCAACAAATAAGATGGTCTTCTCATGAACTTGAGCGGAGAACAAGAAGAAGGTCAAGCTAACATAAACCAATGCCAACTTGAACATTCTTTCGGTTGGCCGTCCAATCAACATCAAGAGAGCCGGAAACGAAAGTAAAAGAGTTGCGGCAGTGCTGATGATCGTCATCGTTCCAATTGGAAACTTGTTGAATTTAACGACGACGTTGGCAACACACCAAAAGGAGGCCACTTTGTCCTGAAATTATCAACAAAAAAACAATAAATCTCCAGTTACACAGAATAATTAGAGATTGCAGGTAAAGCTAACAACCTAACCTCAAAAAGTCCTCTTGCCACTGGGAAAACTCGATGTAAAACTTGAAGATACCTTCCATCAGCCAAAAACGGACTCCACAACAATAAAAAAATCAAGAGCACAGTGATTCCAAGCTTGGCCACATTGAAGATACTGAAAATACAGCTCTAAATCAGTATCATAACCTTACCTTCCAACAAATCCCTTCTTCAACGACCTTCCGAGAAGAAAAAAGAAGACTGGCAGAGCATAATACAATGCCATTTGTTTGAAATTTAATGCCAACACGAACAGAAACGATCCCAAGATCTGATTTCCTTTCGCCATAAGTAAAAAGGATTTCAACGCCAGTCCGAGACAGATGTGATTGTATTGAAAATGAGCGGAATCGATGTAGATAAGACCGGGGAAGAAGAGAGCTGCATACAACATCGGAATCTAAAGTTCGAACTACGGTAAAACAGTAATAACTTACTCTATTCGCATGGCTCTTTCCAATTCCATTGTAAACTTCCAAAATAGTTGGTAGATAGAGGATGATCATTGAGAAGATAACCGAACATCGCATGAAGAACTTGTGATCAGGACTTTCATGGCCTCTCGACGTCTCCAGCTCAACCCAACTTTTGTTGTAGACTTCAGCACTAAAACAATAATGATGTTTGGCAAAAATGACTTACATTTTGCCAATGGCCCAGCTGTGATAAGCCGTAAGTGGCGGGTAATCAAGCCCCCAATACATCAAATTATTTCTGGTTGAGTTTTCATACCTAAAATTGCAAAAATCGAAGAAAAAAGAGACCCTACCATTCAGTGACGGGAAGATTGACGGCGATCTCCATCCAATGCCGTTGCGCTTCGTAATCGCCGAATTTCGGTGGATCGTTCTCCCCAGAGTACGGCAGAACTGACGCAAAACAAAGGAAAACGACGAAACAAACAATCCCAAGGGTCTAAAGGTAATAAAGGTTTTTAAAACAAAATCCGAAAATCTGTTTATACTTTTAAATCCTCTTCTTTTGCTTGAAGATTCTTCCGCCTTGCTTCTTTGACAATCTGGTTGATCACGCTGTCCGAAATGATGGTTTCATGTAGAGGATCTATCTAAAATTGAAAAAATTTTACCTTCGAAATCGAAGATAAGCCGAAGACTTTTCAAACCAAATAAAATCGAAACATGAATGCTGTTTCATCTAAAATGTCTGACGATACCTAAACATTAAGAAGAAACCAGTAAAATCTTACCTCTTCATCGAACACCTCCACAACTTGACTTTTCCCAAAGGTTGCCAAAGGCTTTCGCTCTTCAGACATATTTTAAAAAACTAGTTACAACTAATAAACACAACAAAAGGAATCAAACAACAACAATAATTATATACCCGTACCACCAATCACAAAAATCTCTATTTTACGTGGATTTATTGCTTCCTGGACAATTTTCATCGTATAATGTCGCTGTTATACGATGAAAGCTGTGCAAAAAACAAGATAAAATAAGACGGACAGGGTGCGAACTGCGCCCAAACGTGGGAACTATCAGTCTGTCGGAAAAATAACGGCGGATCGTCGCATCAAAATGTCTCGCCCCGCCGCTATCGCGCACCAAATCCCAAGTCGCGGCTTGCAGTCGCAAAGCGATGATGAGCGACTCCGAGGCGCGACGATCCGCCGTTATTTTCCCGACAGACCGATATAGTTTGGCAAAAAAGGTGTTGATCCAGATTTTTTGTTAATTTAGCCCTTCAAGGTGAACGTGTCAACTGCTGGATCATACGTAATGGCAGGATTAGTGGGGGAAGTACGAACGGAAAAAGAGTCAGATTCCATAAAGCATGACTAAAATTTGACCCATGAATCCAAACAACAAGTGGAAGAAAGAAGAAACATAGAATTATCTCAAACACAACCCACATATAAACGAATATAAAGTAGTGAAAATCTGCAAAGACACCATAACCTTCGGATTTTGGTGTTTACGGGGTATTGTAATTTTTTCTTACCTCGGTAACGTCTTTGTGTCCTCCCTGTGTTTTCTTGTTGAAAATATTACTCTAGCATTTAGCCGTCCGTTTAGATTTAATCACGTCCTATCAAATTTATTTATTATCATCTCGATTTCTCTTTTTCCGAACTTTCCGCATTATAAATACTCCCAAAGGACAATAAAAAGAGGGTCTCTGCGAATTTTTGGACTCTCGGAAACGAAAGGAGGAGCGGCCGAAATTCCGCTCTTTTCGCGAGTATTTTGGGGTCATGGGGCTAACGGAGAAGGTGGAAAAACTTGCAGTAAAAGCGAGGTATTGTCCAGTTCCGGGTGGCTTCAACAGTCGATGCTATCATAGTCGGTTTTGGGAGAGTGCCGTGCGAAAAGATCGGCTTTTAACGAGTTTGTTGGGAGTGGCATTGGTTATCAGCTTTTCGGCTACGGTTTTGGAGTAAGCATTTTTGGTTTTTGGCAGTGATCGATTTCCAGAACCGTCGTTTACGCCGTCGAAGGCGATGTATGGCGGATAAACATCTCTTTGTTGGTCTACACAGCGTTCAGCGCACTGCTCTTACTTTATTTGACAACTGCTTTCATTCTGAAACAGGTCGTTTTGGCAATGCAAGGGATTGACAGTGGAATCATCGCTAAGGTAATTTGTCGTTTTGCCTTATCAGGTAGGGACAAACAACAGAAAAAAACCCATTAAAAAATCCATGTGTATGTTTTGTCATTCAAATTACTCCATTTGACAATAAACAGCGGTCGGCCAGAAGTCTGCTAACAAAAACTTTTTCAGCACGATCCAACGCTCGTTCAAGTCCTGCGAGAAAACCGCGCAGTCTGGGCTGACTCCGGCTTGTCACACCGGGAAATTCTCACCCGACTTTATTGTTATCAACCATTCGATACTGAGCTGGAAGATGTCATTGATGCCCCATTAAGCTCTCGACTCCAAGATGTTTTGGTATTTTCAACCCGACGAATACATCTTTGGTTGATGAAGCGAAGGTTTTTACATATAATAATGTTCATTTGCTTCTACTCATTCCTCGCCTTCTTGATCTACAGTCAAATCACCGCTTGGGGTGACTTTCTCAACGACTTCACTTACATGTAGATGCTTCTTTAGTGCTCACAATGTCTTTTAATTGTATCTAGCGTCAATTTTCAGAAATTTCAAGTCTTTCTTTGTTCGTAAAATTGGGTTTTTTTACGAACTTGCTACACTTACCAATATTTTTTTTGTAAATAATTGAGTAACATAAAAGATTTGTGCGTTTGAACACAATAAAAGGATATTTTTATGAATATTGCGATAATCCGAGCGCTTTGAACTGATTTCATCAACAAGAAAACATCCAGCATTACCGTAAAACACAAGAAATCCTTTCGTCTTCTTTTTCTCTCAGCCTTTCTCTGTTTCTCTGCGCTCCCCTCTTTTCATCGCACGTCCTCCGCAAAAAGGAACCCATTTCTTTTCCGAGGATCACTTCCCCACCCCACATAAATGCGTCCGCATTTTCTCCATTCGCTCAAGAGGTGTGAGTCTGTCAAGCAACGGAGAGACGAAAGAACGCATGGTCGTTCCCGCACACTGCACTCTGTGGAAAGTCCCTGGACCAGCGGCTGAAAGAGTCCACGATTCGGATCGTGCATTTCCTGATGTCCTCCGGGGCGCTTCACGGATCCTGCGGGGTTCGAGCGAAGACGGCGACTGGCTAACGAAGCGGGCCATGAGGTCGAAGGACGGAGCTCGGGTCAGCGTCGATGAGGGATTTTCGTCCTGCCAAAGTGACGCTTGAAATTTGTGCAAAACAGCATAGGGCTTACTGACACTTGGCACCTCTCTTACTTTTGCAAAATCTTTTGTGCCATCAACGTTTTCCAGAGATCAACCAAATTTTTCAATATCAGATCGCTCTTTTTCAATCATATTTTTATTTAGGTTAGAACTACAAGTCTCACAATGGGATTCAAAAACAATAATACACGAGTATCTTCACAAATAAATATATTATCATACAGTTAAGCGGTTTTCTCCGGTTCAACCGTCGATTTCTCGGCTTCTTCAGCCTCCTTGGCATTGGGGACCCAAAGACCTGAGGCAATACAACGATCGAGATGATATTTGAAAACTTCTTGGTCCATTGCTTCCGCTACATGAAGAAGGGCGTCTACACTTTGCGATTCGAAAGCCTCTTGCATTTCCTGCAAAACCGGACATTAAAAATTTCTGTAAGTACCTGAAATCGAAAGAAACAAATGGAAAATTGAATTCCTACCTTTGGAAGTGAATCGAACACTTCTTTGGGATCAATTCCTCCAGGGGCATTCTTAATCCTCTCGGCTTTTTCTTCAGCTTCCACCTCTGCAATCGCGGCTTCTCTCTTTTCACGGCCTCTCTTGATCAAACGTGCTTTGAACGCGTCAACTTCATCATCATACATCTTAATGTAGGCTTCATCAGCAGCACGGATCCTAAAACCATAAGAAACACAGCAAAGCGCTTACTTTTTAAAGAAAGCTTTGATGACGTTAGTGTTGGTTGGTAAGCTGTTCAAACTCTTGGCCAATTCGAGGAGATATTGGAGGGTAATCCCATTCTTCGCGTAATTCGCCATCTCATCGTATTCTTCATCAATGGCCAAGTTGAGAGCTTCAATTGTGATCCAACTGGATGCGAAGTCCGACGCCAAGTAGGGATGTTCAAGAAGAAATTCTTCACATTTATCGAATCCGTTCTGTTGACAATATTCTCTCATTACACTTTCGTTTTTCTTGAAGAAGTCCATCTAAAGAAGGATACTAAAAAAATTTTTGGTCTCACCATCCTCTTGTTTTCCTCTTCCTCATCAGTCTTGGGGGGTTCGGGTTTTTTATCACTGTACTTGTTGACCACCTAAAATACAACAAAAAATAGCATGAGATTGGCTAAAACTTACAGTCTTGCTCCAAGCTTCGTGACCAATAGTATCGACGTTCCATGGCTGTTTGGCTTCTTCTTCTTCGAGCATCTTCTCCTTTTTTAGGAACTCCTCTTCCTGTCTTTTTATTTCATTCAGCTCCAGCTCGAGTTTGATTCTTTCCTTTTCATCCTGGGTGTTCTTTACCTTCTCTTCCAGCTCCTGAAGGTATTATAAGTTTACGACACTCTACACTAACAACTCAGTACCTAAAAAACAATAAAAAGAAAAAAATTCTCACTTGAACTTTCGTCGAAACTTGTTTCTTCTGGCCTTCAACCTCCTCCTTCTTCTGTTTCATCTCAGCCATCCGTTCCAGACGAGCTTGGTGTCTCCATCTGAAGAGTGAAGGTGTATCAATGTTGGGGTGAGTATCGTCTTCATCATCCGATACTTCAATGTTCTTCCACTTTGAATAATCGATCGGCATGTTGTTATAATTTCACTAAAGAAGACAAATTAGTTCAAGTTCAAAAACCTCCTGCAGAAATAAAAAAAAACGACGGACAAACACCTCGCGGAACGGATTAGAAGTCGTAAAAGCCCTCAAAACAAGCTTCCCGAAGGTTTATACTATAATAAGCCTTATCCGCCAAATATCGGATTCTAAACCTCATCCAAGACCAACCACGTGGACACACGAAGAAATTTACATCAGAGACATTTTCCACCAACGCAATCGCATTTCTGGCTTCTTCGAGAAAAATTCCGAACGAAAAAATATTTTACACCGAACTCTGATTTCGTCTCATCACGAATTGCCTGACAAATCAGGGTGAGACGGGAAAATAGTTTTTTATTCGGAAAAAATATTGTTCAACATCGGGATACCCGCGGATCGTTGTAAGGATGAGCAAAAGGGTTGGTAAGATTGCTTCTCAAGCCATCAAGAACCGGAGCCAGACCCCGATCATGAGCTGGCTTCGGGACAAGTTGTTGGCTGTTCATAGAAACGAACCTGCTGGCATTCCTGGTCCTGATGGAAAGGTTGGTCATGTTCATCCTTCTTTAGTCGTACTTTACAATGTTTGTAGTTGTTCCTCATTTTTATGAGTCTTTTATATTGTTTTAGCTGCTAATCTATTAATATTTTATACGAACTTTGATAACAATGTATTTTTAGTCCCAATTCGAGTATCCTCATCGATTCCCAAATACCCAAGCAGCCAGAGCCATTGAGATGCCCAAGCTTCCCGGTGGAGTTCACCATCGTTTGTCTGATACCTATTACTACGAAAGAGATGGGCGCAGACGAGTTCAACCACCACTAGAAGTCTACAGAGCTGATCAAAACGGACAGAAGTTCCTGGAAGCCGCGTATGTTTATTCAGTTTTTGTTTATGTTTTAGAATTAAACTTATTTAAATGGCCATGGAGCTCTACTAATCGGGAAAGCCAGTTTCAAGTCTGGGGTTAAAATCATAATTCAGATCTCAAACAATCTTGAGCTAAAGTTGAAGTTCAGGAGAATTCATATGCCAGCCTCAAAATCGAATTCGGGCTAAAAAAACTAACTTTTTTGCTTAGGGGATTGAAATTTTATTGTACAGCAACCTTTTTATGTCAAGGTAGGATTTTCTGCGCTTGCACCTCAAGAAATTGTGGTCAAATAACCCGTACTCAAGAACGATTCGAGTATTTTTCATTTTGCAGAACTTAATAATAAGTTCAATGAACTTGAGGTTGATGAGTTCGCGAACTTGAACTTAAGTTCGAACTTTTTTGGAGCCCTATCATGGATATTTAAAGTCGTTGGTTTAAATAGCTCCATGAAGTTGAAATTTATGGGTATAATGTTTTATTTTACAGAGCGCAAGCCGAAACTCCTGCGAGAAAAGGACCGGAAGAAAACTTTGGTCTCAGTTTTTCGATGCCCACTCCTGGTGTAGGGTACGAATGGCAACGAAACAATGGTATAGAACGACCCTTCCAGAAGACCAATCCAGAATTAAAGCAGGTTGAGAAGTATGACAAATACTACCACACCTAAGATAATTATTTGGTATAGGACAGCCTTCAGGTGTAAATAAAGGGATAGCTTTTGTTTTGTCATTTGGCTTCAACGAAAGGTTGATTTTACCTTCCAATACCTTTATTTTGGTGCTTTTAAGGTTTTGTATTACGATTATGTTTTGTCTTACTTTAATTAAATATCGTAATAGGTGTCTGTCTGATCATGAGGATCACTTCGATTGTCAAATCTCACAAGCACTTTGGTAACCTCGGAAAGGTAAGGGAAGCGAAAAACTTTTATTCTTGATGTGTAGATTTACGGGCAGTACAAATGGTCGATCGCCCCCAATGAGCAAGACGCATGGAAAGGTTTCTTCAAAGCCGCTGTCGTTAATGTAGGTATTTATTTTTTTGTTAAGGTTTAGGTATCGTGCTTAAACTACCTTTTAAGTTCCAAAGTATTAAAATAAGAGTTGGAACGGTGATCCAACTTTGTGCTGGACAGCACCGATCATTTTTTTGCTTTTGAACAGGCGATTTTAATGTTTTATGTTGTTTTAAATTACAGGTATTCGACGAGTATGTAGTCCGTTCTTGGTACTACATTGTCCCACCGGCCGTTGGAACATACCTTCTCTACGATTGGGCCAAGAAGGAGAACGCTCGCGTCAACAAGAAAAACCCGGCCGATTACGCCAACGACGTCTAGAATTCGTAAATTGGTTTGTTCGGTCAGGAATTTAGATGAAATAAAGGATTTGTATAACCTTCAAAGAGGACCTTAATGTCAGAATTAATACAGTTTCGAATGTCAAAAGGTTTCAAGATGTTTCATTGGGCGGATTAGGGAGCTAGACGAAATTTAATTTGATTTGGTGGTAGTATTGTTGTATGTCACCCTTTCTCCTCACAATTGCCAATTACAGCTCCCTTGAACTTATCCCTTTCGCTGTAAGAGATCCCTCTTTTTCGAAGCGTTCAGTGCGCGCCGGAGATCGCCTGGCGTCTTGGTGAGTTGACCTTTTTTTACGAAGAAAATCGGTTTCTTCCAAACAAGGCGCCGATATTTTTCATAATTTATCGGGGTTTCTTTTTTCGAATCCTTTCGGACGGCGTTCCGAAGTTGTTTTACTTTTTCACAGAAGAGCCAAATCAATGTTTAGATAGCCGAGGTGTGAGGTTATTTAATTCGTAGGAAATCGGGCTGAATTTGGATCTTCGATTAGACTTATTATTGGGACCATCAGCGATCCCAATTGAACCTGTGAAATCTTACATCAGAGTCGGCCTTTGTGGAGTGTAAAATATTAAAGTTTCACTCATATTTTAGGTGGCTCTTGGAAATTGATCTAAATGTCGTGCTCTTTGTAGAGATATATTTCCTCTTTTGCAACGATTGGACTACAATCTGACTGTTCGTATGGCGGTGTAAATACACCTTCACTTGTACTAATCACCAAACTTTTGATGTCTGCAGCTTGAACTTCCCGACATTCTTGAGGTGTAATGTCTGTGTGGAACACATTTCTTGGCGGTTTGGGTGGAGCGGCTGGTGGGATAAATCAGACGGATCCGTCGCCTAAAGGCATAAAAAAATTTGACGGATGAGTTGAAAGTAAGCGGAGATCCGGTAGATGCGGGGTTGGGGGCGAGAATTAAAACATTAACGGGGCAAAAAGCCGAAGTGTCGCCAGAATCCGGCGAATCCCGACGCTTACTTTTCTTTCCTGATTTTGCGTTTTTTGCGCCGTGTTCTTCTTCATAATCACTTTCACTTTTGACTAAATCTAAAGGTCATTCCGGGGGGAAAGTCGGAAGTAAATCCGGGGATCACCTGGAATCGGGTGTGGTTTTGATAACTATGCAATTATAGAGGAATGGCCTTGTGTTTCGTGAGGACGAATAGACCTGCGGTCAACCTGATTGCCCTTTATTTTGAGGGTTTCCCCCTTTCCCTCCAGATTTTACCTCAGATTCTTGGATTTCGTTTTTTTTTCTCGAGGCACAGCAAGAAACATCAATGGGAATCGTTAATCGGTTATGGAAGCCCTCTTTGGAGGTGTCGGAATCGGGTTTCGAAAAGTGATCTCACGCCTTTCTCCTTCAATAATATTTATTTTGCCGCGGTATCCGTTCTGAAGAATGCGGGAGCTCCGAGTTTGGAGTAGAAAGTAAAAGAAATTCGCATGCTGCGAGTTGTATTTCGAGTTCTAATACACGGTTTAGGAGTTGGTCCGCCGTTATGCGCATCAGCGCTCATTTTTTTGAGTATAACGTCGTTTGCGTCATTAATTTATATTGCATTTGCCATTAAGTGAATCTTAAAGGAGGGTCTTACAATTCCAGCCTCTTTCCTTCAAATGGCTTTGACCAAAACTTGGGTGACGCTATGCCTGCTCACAGTCGCATCGGGATTAGAGGCTCCGGACGGTGACTTCTCCTTCTCTCGTCTCAAACGGCAAGCTTCTCCATTGAACCGGGCTTGGGAAGAGGCGTTGCCCGGCGTTCAGCCATTCTGGGAGAAATACTCGACCGGTCCGTACGGAATTGTCATCAGAGGATGGCAGTTCAGTCGGTGCGCTAACGAACAGGTATGACTGAATTTTTGGGTTTTGGTCACTTTTCTGACAAGGAAAGTACTTCTATGGGGTATGGAGTTACAGGTGGAGTCATATATCAAAAAAATCGCAAAATTTTTCTGATTCAGAATATGTAAAAGTTAGCTGCCTAATTTTGGTTTTTGAAAAAATCCTCAGAACTTTTCACGCAACACCACGCAAATGCCTTTTTGACAAAGTTTTTACCAAATCAAAAGCTTTGTTTTGAGCTAAAGTGAACCCTGGCATCTTGACAAGCCTTAAAATATCAAATTTGATTAATACGACACCTTAATTAATAGTTCCAATATAAAAAACGGGCATTTATGTGGTGTTGCGAGAAAAGTTGTGAGGATTTTTTCACCCTGACACACCAAAATTAGGCAGCTAACTTTTACATATTCTGAATCAGTAAAATTTTGCGCTTTTTTTGATATATGACTCGATCTGTAACTCCATACCCCATATGGAGTTAAAGTACTTTCCTGGTGAGATAATGACAATTTTGTTGTAGTGGACGAACTATGTCGTGAACGTCTCAAATATTGTCATCTGGCCCGACTATCCACGTTTCCCCGGCCCAATCTTCTTCAACGTCACCATGGATGTGAATGAAGAGCTTCCAACCGAAAAGATTGAGATGGATCTGGAAGTTCGACATGCTGTAACTGGCAAACAAGGAAGCAAGGCCTGGCAGGTGATCCCTTGCCAAGGCTGGAACATTCTCGATGGCTGTGATGGTGTGGGGTCTTGGTGAGAATGGAACTTTCAACCTCTTTCAAAAATGGATCATCTAATATCTGTAATCCGTAAAATTTCAGCCGTTATTGTGACATGCTGGACAAATGCCAAGACACGGTCAAGTCAGCGCACAAATATGTCAACGACAGGAAAGCCGAGGACTTTTTGAGACAGAATAAACTGTGTCCACCACCGAAAGGCCATTGGACGATGACTTTCTCCAAGATCTTCACTATTGATGACCTGCCCAAGAGTTTCTTCGGACCTCTTCAGTCGGTAAGGACTGATTTTTTTTGGCAAAAGGAGAGAAACAAAGTTTTTAAAAAGCCCCGAATCTGTTATCCAATCACAAAGTCATCAAAAATACTGTAGATTTTGAGGTGATGCGCTATGATACATCTTGACTTTTATTAGAGTATCTAATACATCTTCATAAAACCCCTGTCGAGCCACTCATTTCGTGACTTTGGGATCCCTTTTGACACCAAATTTTAGGTCGTTTAATACATCTTTTTTGTGCCTTTTTTGCGACTAAATCACAAAGCTTTTTTTGTCCAAAGCTTGACCTGTCAAAGTCAAAAAATTGCCGACAGAAATGTAAAATGTCGAGTTGCAGAACGAGTACTGGCTGACGTTCTCCTTCACCGACGGCAAGGACCGGAAATTGGGCTGCGCGCGTCTGTGGGTGGACGTTTGCAAGTACCATCTACAAGACAAGGCGCAGAAATGTTTGCGTGACGCCAACGCCTTCAAGAACTTCATCAACGAAATCAGCTCGCAAGCCGAACAGATCCGACAAAGAGGCTAGATTTGTTGATCGATGCCCGCCGCCGATTCCATCGAAAACTCTTTCAAAAACGGGATTTTTTCGAAACGACAATAAATAATATTATTATAATATTTATCAGCGCTCTTCTCGTCATAAATTCTTCGACAATCTGGGATTCGATTTATTAAGGCCTTCGGAACTTGATTTCAGTGATGGATTATGTATGAGGTAAGTAAAAAAGATGCTATCAGAAGTGCTGACGTTGCCGCAGATGGGCTTGCCGACATGTATTTAGCGGCCATAGGGCCAAAAATTAGAGTCTCATTGCACGGAGAAGGGAGCCGTGACCATTTGATCCCCAACATTTCACGGATTACTTCATGACTCGAGCGAAATAGCTTGGCCAATAACTAAAGGAACAATAACAAAGTCTTGGCAACGCCAACCTTGGTTGTGACCTTGCCGCAAGCCTTTCCATACTCTTCCAGCACGCATTTTGAGAGTATTGTCATCTCTCCACAGACGGCACCAACCTCCTCAAACGCTCCACCTTCGGCCAACTTTCGCATCGAAATCCGAAGTCGCTGGCTTTCCATGTAACAGGAGAGAGACAACGATTCAATGTGGAATTTCCAGCAACCAAATTGGGTCCTGAGTGCTGGAAAGGATTGGCTGCGTAAACCGCGGATGTTCTCACTCACTTCGTAAGCTGTGACAAATATCGTCCCAGGGTTTCAGACCGAGGCGGAGGATCTTCTTCTCCAAGGACTCTTCGCAAGAGCTAATGCAGTTCCCCAGCATGTTGTTGTGGCTGAAATAACAGAGCAATGTAGATCTATTATAAGTGCTTGGAGGTATTCTCTCTCCAACAAACTCCAGGATATCGGTATTAGAATTTCCGGGAGAATCATGCCACCAAATCAATCTCTATTCATTGAAAGCATTTTCAAAAAAAATTCTTTTGTGGATCCTTGAAGTTCGTTGTACAGAAGAAAATTTTACAAGATATAATACGTTTATACCGCCTTACTAGCAGATTTCATTTGCCCGATGATACGCCGCTTCTTCGCTGCCATTGCTCCGAAGTAGCGATAGCAATGGAAACGCAAAGTCCATCGACCATTCACTGTCCATCTAAATTGAAAACAAGACCGTAATCCAAGAAATAAGCAACAAAATAAGCGAGATTACCGTACCTTCATCATATGGTCATCCTTGCATTTCAACAGACACAATGGTATCCCCGTGACTTCCGTTTTATTTGAGACACAGAACGATAACGCCGCGAAAAGGACAATTATCGCGTCTAGAAGCATGGCCTGAAAAGACAATGGAATTACTGTCTGTCAACACAAAAGTTTCAGGACAATTTTGAAGATTCTTTTTACAAGGGAAGTATCCATGTGCGACGCTCAGATTTTCTTCAAATTCTGCAGGCACGTCGGCCATGAACTAAGTATCAATTCCTCAAAGTTTTAGCTTGCGCTTTTCAAGCGCTGCCGAGATATTAAACGACCTTTGCCGCCGAGAGAGTACGCTAAACGCGGAGAGCGGTCAAAGAGAAAAATATTTTTTGGCCATAACTTCGCTAGTTTTGTGAGGAAAAAAATAATTTTTTGTGGAAACATTACCCACTATGGTAGAAGTAGGAATGAAACTTTTCGTGCCAAAATTCGGCAAAAAGTATCAACTTTTCGCCAACTTTCGACCTAAAAACCTCGGTTGTTTCTGAAAAGCGCGAGCTGGGATTCTTGCATACATCTGAGAAAAAACTATTCTAAATTTGTGCCAAGTTTCATCAAAATCTGAGCGTCGCACTTGGGGTACTTCCCCAGTTTGCTAAATTCTGCGTAAGGAGCCGAAAGAGGGTTCAATAAAGCCTCAAAAACAAGAGGAATGAATGAAGTCATTTTTTGCGCCATATCAATGCCAATTAGAATCACATAATGTTGAAATGCGACGGCCGCGCTTCCTCAAGGCCGGGGAGATGTTTAAAAGATGCGCCAAAGGCAATGACTTGTAAAATAACAGCGCTGCTGATTGAAGATGACTAAAAAATCACACTTTCGAGCTATTTGATCATTAAAAAGCAGCAAAAAGATTGAAATCCAAGGGATGGCAACAAATAATATGTAAATAAAATCTGGGAGGAGTATTGCTGGACTCTCTTACTTTTTGAAGGCCGAGCTGAAAACGGAGACCATTTTGTCGAAACGAAATGCGCCGATTTCCTGTTAATTCAGCGCCCTCACGAAGGAAGAAGTTTTAAGTTGCAGGTTAAAATTACACCCTCACATTGCCGGGAAATGGGTAATATCATGATCTAACAAAGTTAGATAATAATACTGAAATGATGATGTTGGCGGAGATCGATGTTTTGCGACGATATTTGTTAGTGTTGAACATGAAAGCGGCATAAATTTCATTCTGAAAATAACGGAGTTTTCTTTCAACGTACAGCCAAGGTATTCAACGAGCTTTGCAGAAGAGAGGCGTTGGAAAAGGAGGAGATGGGCAGAGATCCTTTTTCGTTTATCATTTCTTGAATTTTCGAAAAAGACATAATCTTTTGTACATGGTACTCTACTTAAATCTTGGTGGCTTTATCGAAGGCGCTTAAAATTCCAGTTTTCTTCAAATTCTTCAAGAATTAAAAACAATTTTTTTGCTCTTAATCTGCGCCAGATTTCATTAAAATCTGATTGAAAAAATCTCAACTCTTCATTGTGATTTATTTAGGAAACTTTTAAAAATTAAAAAAAAAATTAAAATTTCAATCAAACACTGAAGAAATTACGAATGGCCATTTTTTGTGTTCCAAAATTCGCTCCTCAAGAATTCCCGTAATAACAAAACAATCCATAAAACGGCCGAAAAACGGGCCTTCGAAATTCATAAAATTTTCGGACCACCTTGGAATGCGGTAAATTTCGGTGAGGTAAATAGTTTGGGTTTGAAAGAGTTCATGTAGATACATTTTCGAGGAAGACGAAATGTAAAAACCACTTCTAGCTCATGTTTTTTTTTCATAGGTTAGTCATCGTCTTACGAAAGTTTGAAAATTTTGGAAGGCAGAGAAAGCAAAGAAGGGTGAAATTTCGAAATCCAAAAAAGACAAGTTGGCTGCCTTCCAGAGGCGTTTTTTTTTGAAAAAATATCATTTTCATGATTTGTATACTGAATTTTTTTTGAAAATAATTTAAAATCTTTTCATTTTGAATACTTTTCCTATATAAAAATTTATTTTTTTTGGATCCCAAATCCATGTAGTTCGGGACAAATCCCTTGAAAGGTCATTCGCGGCATCCTCGTCCAATTAGCATTCCCTAATTTGCATATAATGTCAAGCAAAGAGAGGAAAGAACTTCAAAAAGGCCGCCTTTTGTGGATCTGCACAGTGCGCGCTTGTTTGGGCAAGCAGCAATTAAACGCAGTCCAAACTCGAGGATTTGGCTTCAAGATTACTGTGAAAAAATCGCAGTAAACCTGGTGTAGTTTAACATTTCGATTGCTGCAAAATTTTGACGAGATTCCTGTTTAAAATGAATTTTATTTCTTCTCTTCTGCACCGTGCATTCGACCTCTTTTGATCATGTTTTTTTTCACTCAAAGTGCGGGATTAGCGGCACGACAAAGAAACGGGGTTTTTTGCCGCAGAAATATTTGTTGGCTTTTCCGACCACTTGCGACGATCGACCATGACAGGAAGTCCTTTTCTTGGCGAGAATGGACTGTGCAAATTTTGAAAATCGAACCCATCATAAAGGATCACAAAATTTTTATTTTTTCCAATAATTTTTTTAAAGAAAACGTCATAATGTGGAAATTTTGAAAACCCAAAAGTCTCAAAAAGTATCAAAGAAGTTTCGTTTCCCCAAGAGAAACAAGACTTTCGCATTTTCTCCAACGAGCGTTTTCCCGCCAACTTTTGCGACAGCTCATCCCCAAATTTGTCGCGACCGCTGAGAATTTGATTCCTTGACCGGTCGGGCGGCCAGCTGCCGCACACTCCATCATCCCGAAATTTGACGCCCAACGCAAATGCACTGTGCCAAGAAGCTAGCAGCGCGACACTCGATCAAAAATCGCACTCGGCATGAGAGGAATGTGTCGCGCCGGGACTGAGTGGGCCATTCATTCCACAAACATTGGTTTCATGGCCATAATTATTTTTTTGCCAATCGTTTGGTGGAGGGAGGAGGGCAATTTGTGGGCCAAATTTTGCGAAATTGCTGCGCTGATTTTGTGGGTTTAATGGGTCGAATTGCTTGCTGTGGGAGATGTAGGTTTATGTGGAAGTTGCCGGGGGCAAATCTGGGATGTTTCCGTGCCGTAACAGACATTTTTTGATGACTTTTGCGAAACATCGCGGTCAAATTTACCATTTCAAGAAAATTTTGTGTATTTTTTGAATTCATTTTTTATCGTTGATCTCTGACAATACCGTAGATTGCAAGTCTCCCCTAGAATTAATTTGGGGTATACTTTTTTTTATTTTCTGCCGCCAGCTTTTCCTTTGCAACCTACCGTATCCCAAAACAAAGTAATTTTTGCTCGAGATCATAATTCCTCTCCATCCATTCCAAATCGCCAAATTTTCGGTCGAAAGAATTCTCCGGGGACAGTCGCGTTGTCCCAGCGACCAAAAAAGGAGGCGGAATTTTTCGGTGGGGGTTAGGGTCGCGCACTGTTGGAAGCGGGAATGCGTCGGTCGGGAACGGGAATGCACTGGTCGGGAGCAGATGTTCGCGGCAATGTTTGTGTGCATTTTTTTGGGTGGCCGAGTGCGCGCGGCCTCGTCCCTTCGCCCACATCGCCTTGGCTTGCCGCGACTTCCGAATTTGGGGGGATTTGGAATTTTGTGGGACATATAGGGTATCCCTCATCTTTGGGGGATTTTTGGGGGGTTGGTTGAGGGGTTTTTTATAGAGTAGGCTTTTTGGAAAAATAGTACTACTTCCTGTTGATTTCTTTGAGGCTTACAATGTTTATATGACAGCAATTTTGAACAATTTCCCCATTTCTTCTCAAAAATCCAGTTTTTTCCCCGATTTCCCATCTCAAATCCCCGTTAAAATCCGATTTCCCGTTGATTTATGCAATTTTGGCACGCCAGCAGTCATGATCCCTTTCTTAAAACATCTGCATGCCGTGTAGAATTCAAATTTTGTCATCAGAAGATCCCCTCATAAGCCAATTTTCCGAGGCATTCAAGGTACAATGCGCCGCGAAACAGGTGCGTCCAGTAAATTGCAGAGCCCTTTCCTGGCCCTTTTTTGGCCCCGAATGACCTCAATTATGCAGATTTTTATATCGCGTTTTAATGGACAGGCCAAACCGGGAGATCTCGGAGACCGTTCTTTGGGGGTGTTTCATACAGTAAGCCCCCTCAAACTTTTGGATTTTTAATCTCAAAACAAAGGATTTTGATCGGAAGAAACTTTAAATTTTGATTTGATTGCTACCAGTCACTTTAAACCGCCTCAAAAAATTGTTTTCCCACACTAATAGAGGGCTGATCAACGAGCCCGAAGACAGCTTTTTTCACCTTTTGATCCATTGTTTTGAGGGCACTCAAAGGCATTTTTGCGATTTGAAAAATTTTCGGCCGATGGTCATTGTTTTTGTTTCAGGTCTCTTTCTATAAAGTTGGCTCGATTTAAACTTTTTTCCGACCATTTTACGAATTTTTATGTGGGAACGGGCGGAGTGGGCTTGGACTGGGATTGGGTCGGTGTAGTTTCGGCTTGTGGGGAGGCGCGGCGAGTTCAGTATTTAAAATTCGGAACTAATGGGTTATGTTTGGTGCGAGATGCGCAAATTCCAATGAAACTTGTGCCAGATTAACAAGGGAAGTACTCCAAGTGCGACGCTCAGATTTGGATGAAACTCGGCACAAATTTATAATAGTTTTTTCTAAGATATATGCAAGAATCCTAGCTTGCGCTTTGCAGAAAAAATCGAAATTTTTTAGCTCAAACGTAGGCCAAAATTTACGACTTTTTGCCGAATTTCGGCACGAAAATTTTCATGCCTATTTCTACCGTAAAGGATAATGTTTCTACAAAAAATCAGATTTTTCCGCACGAAACTGCCAAAGTTATGGCCAAAAAGCGTTTTTCTCTCTGACCGCTCTCCACGTTTAGCGTGCTCTCTCGGCGGCATAAATCGTCCGATATCTCGGCGGCGCCTGCAAAGCGCGAGCTAAAACTTTCAGGAATTGATATTTAGTCCATACCCGACGTGTGTGCAAAATTTAAAGAAAATCTGAGCGTTGCACTTGGAGTACTTCCCCTGTAAGATTGGAACTTCTTAAAAAATATGCAAATCTTTTAGCCAACGCTTTCTAGGGATTACCGAGATTTACTGGTGGAAAAATGCCAACAAAAAAGTTTTTTCAAGCCCCGGTGTAAAAGCATTTTTTGATTTGTGAAACGCAACATTTCCATAAAAACCGAACTTCTCCGAATCGCGAAGATCTTCCTTTTCGCTCCGTATCCTTATTTTTTAATCCCTGCGAGTTTGTTCTGTCTTGTGTCGAGCTTACTCAGTCCCTGTATCAGATCCCATATGACCTCCTCCAATTCCGTATTTCCTCATTTTCGTGCATCTGTTAGATTAGTGGCGTCAAGCACAGTAACTTTATGTTTTCTTGAGAGAGAAATTATTTTCCCTGTCAAATCCGGTGCTGTATTTACAGTTGGCTGGCCGGAGGGGGAGTGACGTGCGCTCGGCGGTAGGATGATATAAATCCAATTTCCCCGCTGGCCATGGATATCATTGGAATGATAGGGGAGTGAGTGTTACACTCTTTGGGAACGGGTGTCACAATCTTTATTCACAGGCTTACTGGTAAATATGGAACATCTAGATTCTGCAAGGACAGTCGAGATTTCTAAAAATGACTAACTTTTATCCGCACTCTGCAGAAATTCAGTTCAAAAGCGTTCGAAAAAGGAGTCTTTTTTACGAAAATGGGTTTCTTCAACTCACAGGGGAAGTACTTCAAGTGCGACTCTCAGGTTTTGATGAAACTTGGCACAAATTTAGAATAATTTTTTCTGAGATATATGCGAGGATCCTAGCTCGCGCTTTGCAGAAGCAACCGAGATTTTTAGATCGAAAGTCGGCGAAAATTTTTTTTGCCGAATTTTGGCACGAAAACTTTCATGCCTATTTCTATCATAAGGGTACCAATAAATTTCTGCCATAAGGTCACAAAAAATCAATTTTTTCCGCACAGAACTAGTAAAGTTATGGCCAAAAAGCCCTTTTCTCTCTGGTCGCTCTCCTCGTTTTGCGTGCTCTCTCGGCGGCAAAAATCGTTCGATATCTCGGCGGCTCCCGCAAAGCGCGAGCTAAAACTTTCAGGAATTGATATTTAGTCCACACCCGACGTGTGTGCAAAATTTAAAGAAAATCTGAGCGTCGCACTTGGAGTACTTCCCTTGTCAGTTCCAAGGCGTTAAAAAAGAGTCTTTTCAACAAAAAGGGGTTTCTTCAACTCAGTTCCGTTGTCCACGAAAATTCTTGTATTAT